ATATATATATATATATATATATATATATATATATATATATATATATATATTGGTTTACAGTATTATTACTTTTCAGCATTAATGTTGTAGCAAGGATGTAATAAATAAAACCGTGTCTACCTTTGCCCTTCCTTTTCTTATAAACTTATTACACGATACTCATTTTCTCATTAAAACAAAAAAAGGATATAGTAACAGTTTATAACTAACAAGATATATGTATCTATGGCGCACTTGTGACATTACAAAATACATCTAAAAATATGTCCTGTGGTGCATGCCTTGTAACATTACATTACATAAATAAACGTTACGTTGCAAAATACAACACTTAAATCATCAGAAGAGTGCAGTTATCCCAGAAATATACATAAATATACAGAATCCTTATAGAAAAATTATCGCAACATGGAAAATAATGTATAAATGTATAACTACATATGTAAATATGTATAAATGTTGTATAATAACATGCATAATAATGTAACAAAATGTTTGGAGTACAATATCTTAATTATGATGTGTGTCTGTATACATATACGTATACATGGGTTATCCGATTCTTTCCTTAATATAACTCACAAAATACCTTTAATGTACACTAATTAATAAAAAATATGCATTTACGAACTATAACATGATCTAGAAATGTTATGATATACAATATTTTAAACATGCTGTGTATGCAGTGTATATATATGTGTATATACAGGGTGTCCCACGTAAGACGAACCAAAAGAAAAATATAAGTAGAACACATAAAAGTGAACAAAAATTGTATAGGTCAATTTTCAAACAACCACGTAAAATTTCGAGATATTAATTAAAATAGTTGGACAAATTAGAACACGCGACGCGACAGCGGTCAGCGAATAAAATGGACGAGCGCACACATTCACGCACACACGGAGCTATCAATTTCCGTATGCCAAACGGCCCACCACTCTGGCTTATAAGCCCACGAGCAATTGTCCATTTTCTTCGTCGACCGCTGCGAGCCGTATGTCCCGCCTGTCGCGTTGCGCGTTCTAATTTGTCCAACTATTTTAATTAATATCTCGAAATTTTACGTGGTTGTTTGAAAAATGACCTATACAATTTTTGTTTACTTTTATGTGTTCTACTTATATTTTTCCTTTGGTCCGTCTTACGCGGGACACCCTGTATATATGTATAATATGGGTACCAATTTTTCCAACCCAATTCTCTCCTTAATGTAACTCACAAAATATATTTCATATATATTAATTAATAAAAAATATGCATCAATTTACGGACTATAAGATAATTTAGAAATATTTTGTCCTCCCGACTGCATTTACGATCGTATTTTCCCAAAGTTTATCTTTCTGTGTATACCGATGATATTACCGTGAAAAAAGCGAACTGTTCTGTGGCTTACATATCTTTCCCTTTAATTCTTCGCTCCGTTAGATATCTCTAGAACGTGAAGTATGACATCATCTACTGTTTTCGTCGTCAAAAGGGATTTCACTGTATCATCTTCGATTACTACTGTGAACAAAAGCTTAACGTTTTCTCGTAGCCTTTCAGTGAAGGCTACACAAGATTCCGATGTTACTGGCTCATGTCCGCATCTTCTAATCACAGCTTCGAGGACGTCTTGTATCGGAGCTTCTGGCCAACCAAACAGCTAACAATACATACAATTAAGATAGAAAACAAATATTAATATAACAATAAAGTCAAGTCAAACAGTATTTGTTTTAATTTTTATAATTTTTACCTGTAACGTTTCCTCGTCAATAAGTATCCTTAGGAGATCTATGATAGCCTTCAATAGCTCATCGATAGTAAGCGTCCTAGATTCGCCGCTTTTCGTTTTAGCCGCGGCGATCGTCGCAATATTATATAATTGCGTTTGTAGATGCTTCCTCTCGACCTCGTTCATAACGTCTTCCAACAACTCCCGATGTTTCGCCCGAATATGTCTCATTAAGCAATCCTGCCGAATAAACACTCTGTTGCACTCGACGCAGGACTGGGGAGGCTCGCGCCTGTGGGTATTGAGATGAGCTTGCAGCGACGACTTCGCCGAGAAGGCTTTCGAACACTTGTCACATTTGAACGCTGAAACAAAACGTACATCCGTATGATAACATAATGTAATAAATTACACATTTTCTCTAATCGCGTCCGATCGCTTACGTTTAATTCCCGAATGCAGTAGCGAGTGCTTTACCAGATCCTCCCTACGTGTGAAACCTTTGCTGCAAATTTTACACGTGAATGGGATCGCTCCTTCATGCACAAATTTCTTGTGGATATTTAAGCGTGCTTTTCGATTAAACGCTTTACCACACACGTCGCAGTAAAAACCATTCTCGCCAGTGTGGTGAAATATATGCGCCCTTAATTGGGACGCCTGTATGAACGATTTGCCACAGTACTGGCAGACATGTGGTTTTTCGCCGGTGTGGGTACGTTGATGACGATTCAATGTTTCACGAGCGGCGAACTTTCTCTGACACTGAAAGCGAATTTCATCCACGAATTTCAGCATTCGCATATGAAAGAACGTATTAACGATAGTCGAAAAACTTACAGACATCTTATCCATGATGCCAGCTTGCAATAAAATAACACATTTACGGAAAAGTGCCATGTTATTTCTATACTTACTCTCTGCTCAAATGAAACACAAAGCGACATAATGTCACGCCGAAATACTTACATATTTACATTCAAATGGCTTCTCCCCGGTATGTACACGACGATGCTTCTTCAGCGCCAACGCCGACAGGAATGTTTTCGGACACAAGTCACACTGCACGGGCCGTTCGCCCGTGTGCATGCGCTCGTGTATCAGCAATTGTTGACTCGTGAAGAACTCCTTCGGGCAATACTTACACGGCTTTTTTTGCCGTTGCGGAGTTCCAGCGTGCGTGCGCAGATGTTCTCGCAAGTTATCTTTGCGCGTAAAAACTTTCTTGCAAACCTGTAAAGTATATTGCTTATTCGTATTGCACGGAAAGTTCAAGCATATTCGAATAAAGCCTATCAATGAGAATTCTACTTACTTGGCAACTAAATGTATTAAGTATATTGCCATGACAACCTGACTGCATTATGTGTCGATTTAAGTGGTAGCTCCGGGAGAAGTAGGTGTCACAAGGCTCACATCTGAAAAATTGTGCAAAATAAACACCAATAATGCGTAAATAAGCACAATGACGTGCTGATTTTTCTAATTGACTACGTCGAATATCGAGACTGCTGATTTTATGTGCAACGCACTTGAAAATTTTGCGATCACCATGTGTTGTATAGCGGTGTTTGTTCAGCTCTTTCTTATCGCGGAAAGAAGATCCGCACACGGTGCATGTGCAAGAATCGCACTTCCAGTGTATAACAATAATATGCCTCTCCAAAGATACTTTCTTCTTAAAGCTAAGCTCGCAATGGTCGCACTGGAAGTTTCCACCATTGTGTGCAGTTTTTAAATCCTCTGCACAACAGTGACACTGCGTGACAGGTACTGGTTTAATCACAGGTTTATCATTGTTATTTTTTTGATTCCTGGAGTCAGAATCTATGAAGAATATAATCACATATGTAGACTATTTCACTATGAAAGCAAACAGATGTTATATTGACCATTATACATACCCTCCTCAGTAAAATCTGGGAGAATATAGTTTTCATCTTCCTCTTCTTCTTCTTCTTCATCCTCATTCTCTTCTTCTGACTCATAGTTCTCCATATTATTTAATTCCAAAATATTGGTCGAATCATCTTCCTCTCTACACATGTCCAAATGTTCTTTCAACATCTGTCATAAAATCAATAAAAAAAGAAAATAAAAATTGTGCATACAAAACATAATTTAAAAAATAAATGAAAATTGACTTACATCTTCAGATTGGAAGACACGGTGACATGTCACACACTCATAATCAGTTATAATTGATATAATCTGACAATTTTCTGATATAACTGTCAATAAAATAAAACAAATATAAACAAAATAAAAATAAAAAGGAAATATTGACAAAGCAAAGTTCAGGAATAATGTAATGTGGCAAGTTACTTGCAGCCTATGCATTATACACAAATAATAAATATAAGATATATACACAAGAGATATCTCAGAATATATTTAATATTGTGTGAAAATTGTTGGATTATGTACAATTAATTCTAAATCCAAACAATAGTCAAGAATGTATAACTTCTGAGATATCATGCATTTGTATGTATATAGAATTTAACTACCTCTCATATCATCTGCATTGGCTACTACGACAGCTTCACTCTGTGACACATTCGCATCTGCAAAATGTTTAAATAATGTTTTGCTTCTTGATGTTATATTAATATTATAATACATATATATATATATACAATACAATAATGCAAAATTACCAAATAATATCTCTGTAGTCTCATCTTTTATGAGTATCTCGGTATCATCTAGACTTATAATATCTGTAAAAGAATTCATCATATCATCTATACAAGAAGAAATAAGGGTGTATGTAAAGTTTAACCTGAACTATTTATGAGAAATATCAGTAGGCAAAGAGAGAGAAAAATAAATACACAACATAAATTACATGTAACAAGATATACTCTGTAGGAATTTCGTAATGTTTATGTATTCAATTCAGACAACCCAAGGAGAGTCGATTTTACGGTCGGTCGCGTGTAATCCATACTTCCGATAACTCTGTCAAGATATATAATTCGATGCATGTGTTGCACAAACAAAAAACTCAGACTAATTGTTCTCACTCACCTATTTTTTCTATCGTTTCTGCCATCGTGTCAATGTAATTATATCGCAATAACGTCTCTTCGCCGTCCCTTTTTCCCGACTCCTAGGAGGGACCTTACTCAGCGAGCCGATCTCCGATTCGCTTACTTGTTGCTTCCGTTCCAGTTTACGAAAGTCAATGAGAATCGATGACAATACGACGATGCGTATCGAACTACTTTTCGATACGCCGAACGTGGCGAGGAAAACGAGCTTTGGAGATCCTTAATACAATCTGCAAAGGAACTCGCTAACACATTCGCCCCTGAAGAAATAAGCCCTTTCAGCCTCGACGCCGCGGAAAATGGCCTATGTCAAGGGGCGCGTTGTCTCTTCCACGCGTCTACATCCTCTCGCTTACTTTCTCCTTTACACTAGGGAATTTCACACGACAATACATGAAATATCTATATTGAATTATGCACTTTTAAAAACTGCGTTGTTACACTTTCTGCACTTAACATGAAATAGATATATCACATTAGACTCGAGGAAAGGAAAGAGAAGAAAAATCCCGCAAGGAAGTGTAGAAAGTACAGTTGAAAAGAGTAGAGATATCACAAATATGCGAATAATGATTTTCACATCCATTCGCGAATAAATGAGATGTGACGAATACTAAATTCATACAGAGGCTAAAAGAAAGAAACTTTTCACAGTCGGCATAATCAACTATACAATTGAAACTGCTCGCATGCGCAGATTGTGACTGCGACAGAAGAGACGGTGAAAGCAGTTATGCACGCGCAAGACGATCTAAACCTCATCCTCCGATTCGCAACGAATCACTCGTGGTGCACGATGAATCATTCGTAGAAGATATAAGGTATGAACGTGCTCATCGTGTACTTTCTCGTTGGACATATAGCCTCGATTTTCTTCCTTTGATTTTATTCGATTTCTTTGCTACATCTCACTCTGAAGTTAGGCAGAAGCTCGTTTTTCTCTCTCGACACCTCCGTCGACAATAAACCAACTTCAGACTCAAATGATGTAGATTCACGTATGGCGCCAAATATGATTAAGTTGGTGGAAAAAAAACACATTTTCAATGACTCATGTCTTAAATTCTCTTTTAGCTAATAGCGTATCTAAAAGTGGCTTATAGAAGGCCTATAAGCCACTTTTAGATGTATTTTTAGCGATAAAAGAAAGTTCGAAATATGAGCCAATGAGTTTTGCAATTTTGTATTGAATGGGATAATTTTTTAAAGCAATTCTCGTAAAATAAATTGACTCATTGAATACTGGACGCATTTTGAAGTTTATCGAAGTAAGAGTAATAATGCGACTTTTCTTTGACTGAATATATCGTACTTGAATATCCGTACACACACATTTTATGATTTTTAGCATGTTAATCTTCCATATTATCTTTAATTTTACGTTTTTTAACATTATATTTAATCTTACGTTTTTTAACAGCTAGCGAGCTGTATTCAATCTTCGGAATGTGTCAAATACAATGGGTGCGTTCAGCGAACTCAACAGTTGCACAACAGTTGAGTAATTCGTCAATGTAATTGGTCTAAAGTTAGAGATTTAACAGTAAAGGCTATCGCACACAAATTGACATAACTGCATATGCATAGCATAAGATCGTATGGACCAATGAGCATCGAATATTAAGCATCGAACACCAATATGGCTACTTAATACTCGATGCTCATTGGTACATACGGTCTTATGCTATGCATATGCAGTCAATTTGTGTGCGATAGCCCTAAGGACCAATAATCACTGATCGCTCACTGATCAGCTATGTTTTCTGAACGCAGCCAATAATTTCGTGTCGGGATACCTGCAAGCATGGTGTGTGCGCGCTCGTGGTGTATAGGCACGTGTGCATGAATGTGTGAATGTACGAGCTGTTAATTCTATCGTTATCAAATGTTGTTTCAAAGGTTCTTTATTTGACCGATGGAGTTGCGGGCAAGAGTCATCCTGGAAGAAGAACGGAGATCTTTCCACGAACGTGTCGTTCGATATTCTTCACGCGAAGGAAACGTTACGCCATGACGCGCACATCACCGCACAGCTGTCATTCGTAAACAACGTAAGCAGAGCGGTGTCAGGTAACCACACGAGTATTCTGTACCTTGCTTTACAAAAGGATCACGTTGAAAAAGCTCCTGGCCACAAAAGCTAGCTTGTACTAGCATTGTATCGTGTTAATTAAGCTTGCATTTTATCAGCTGTCCTTTGAGGTTATAGTCCTGCCTGTAATATATAGGGTGTCCCAGAAATCTGACTTTGATTATTTTCGAAATAAAGAAGTAGTACTTTGATAATTTCTACATTAGATTATATCAATGTCAACTACAAGCTCCAGTGATAAATTCTATGATAAATTTCTGAATTTATTAAAAAAAATTGTCTTTATGTAGAAATCAATAAACATTAACTCTGAAATAATATCACATCTGTATCATAATTTCTCATTCACATCATTGTTATAACTTCACTCAATCATTCAACAATGTAAAATACATTGTATATAATAGTTGCATCATTGAGTAAAAAATTATGATGTTGATGCAACGTTAGTTAGTCTATTCGAGAACATATTTATCAAATATTAAGGGCTCTCAAAAGTTCATTAGAAGTTATCAATAATTCCATTAGTTCAAAGGATGAGTTATTTCACAGAATAGAGAAACTTTCAATATTTTTGTAGATAAAGATTAGGTGAATCATAAAGTCAATATTCCTACAAAGAATATCTTCTTTCTTTTTCTTATCCAGATTAGTCAATTAAGACTAATCTGAAGGTCTGTTCAACCCTACCTATGAAAACATGGAAAATACTACTTTCTCTTCAATCTTTCATTCATCTTTCCCAATGTTTATTTGAGTTTTTAGAACATTTTAGTGTCAAGTTCAACTTTATTATATAAATATTTATCAATTGAACTGAATATTTCTGTAGTCCAGGACTCAGCGCAAGTATAAACAAGCAGCTCGTTTGTTCCTGAAGTCAAAATGTCTGTGACAGAAGAGAAAATCCAGGAGTTGAATCGACAATTCCTGGACTTTATGAGCAAGCCGGAGAATATCGATACAACCACGAAAGAGATTTACGAGGATCTATTGGACGAGGTCCTGATGGGTTTTGTCTTTGATGTTCATCGTACCACGAAGACTGGCAGTTCCGACGTCGAGGAGGGCATCCCTGATGACGAATCCTATGCCATTGTCGGTAAGCAGAACCATAATAATTCTGTATTTACATTCGTTAGAGTTTTGTTGAAATCATACAGTGAATTACAAAATAGTTCAGATACAATGAAGTTGAGAGTTTACCAAACTATCAAAAGTGAGAATCACTACTGACGGGCTTGTGTTTGTTTAGTAATTATATTCATTATTAATATTATTTAGTATTCTTAATGATATTTTTATTGTATAAGTGTTTATCAGTAACAATTTTGGATTTTGACAGTTTTGTGAGCTCCCAACTTCATTGTGCCTAAATTATTTTGTAATCCATTGTATGTTTACTACGCTGCTTTTGATCATTCTCTATTCACACAACTATTATTTATAATACAATACTAATTATCTATGTTCCAAAATTAGAGTCGCAGAAAACATTCTCAATAGTTGATATCACGTATGTTTTTTTCCAGATTCGCCTGGTCTGGACGTATTCGGTCAACATCCCGTGAAAAAGTCACAAGAGTGCATTTGCCCAAACTGCGACCGCAGCGTAGCAGCCTGCCGATTCGCCACGCATTTGGAGAAGTGCATGGGCATGGGTAGAAACAGCTCGCGCATCGCGTCGCGACGCATCGCTAACAATTCCAAGGACCTGAGCAATTACGGCGGCATGATAAGCGACGACGACGACGACGTCGACTGGAGTCTGACCAACGATAACAAACGACGACGTCCGCGCAAGGACCGCAACGGCATGAACAAGCGTGCCAAGCAGCAAAAACAGCAGCAGCAACAAGCCGGCGGCGGAAGCACGCAACAAAGGAACGGCGAGGCTATGGGCGAACACGCGCATAGCAGCAACGAAAACTCGCCGTCGAATTATGAGAATATGTCGCTGATGGACAAGCGGGCGCTTCTCACGCAGATCTGTGGCGTCGTGTCCGAGCACACGAAGAAGCTGTGTACCCGCTCGATGCGTTGTCCGCAGCACACGGACGACCAACGAAAAGAGATGCGTGCGAATCTAGAGTCTGGCAGCCAACAAGACAACTTGCACGTGGACGTGGACACATACGAAGAGGCCGACGGACAGAATCTGCGAGAGGCTTTGGCAAGATGGGATAGGGAAGGTTCCAGCCACTCCAGTCCGGCTGACTCCGCATCTACCACGTCAACTTCGTCGATCAGTCGGAAACGGGAGACTAAATCGAAGGGTAAAGGCAAGGGATCGAAGCGCGATCGTGGTTCTCCGATCTCACAGGGAGACTGAGGAAGTGGGTGTATCAGGTTCATCTCGCAGCGACAAAGAAATGTACAATAATGTTCCTAATCATTGTATATAAAGCTGAAAATTTGCTGTATATAAGGCTGAATTATGAAGAAAAAACGAGACGAAACGAAGTTTGTGAAAACGAAACTTCTAAATTTGTGAAACTTATTGCAGAGTTTCATCTTTCGTGTCGTAGCGCATGATGATTACGATAATTAATTGATTACGCGTGAATTAATAATAAGGAAATAAAATATAAAAAAAAGTCGGAACAAGTTTGTGTAATATACTTAGTCCTAAGACTTTCCCACGACGTTCTTTTGTAATTTTTATTTTTAAGAAAATATATAGATAGTCATAAATTTAAGTAACAAATGCCAAGTATTTATTGAGTGTCCTCAACCATGAGTTATTCCATATTCCTTAGATCTTTAAAGTTAACTCCTATGAAACGTATAAAATGCTCATGTACTCTGAAAAGATGATTTATATATTTTAATATATGCTTGCGTTTTTATTAATGCGTAAGATTATCTTTTTAGTTTTGCGTTATCATATTTTGTGTATCACCAAGTTTCAAATCTAAATTCAAATTCAGCGGGTTTTGATGATTCTGCACTCGTAGCACTTACTTCTGCTGAAAAGAACTTTTAATGCACTTGATAATTTTCGCTACAATTGAGATAGGCCGCGTTCCGTTTCACGCATATGCGCGCATTTATCTATAGTTCGTGTTACGTATATTGTAGGCAATGTGCGCATAATGCGTGAAACGGAACGCAACCATAGTGGTAGTTTCAACAGTGGATCAGATGCCCTTTTTTTATACGAAACAATCGACGGAATTCAACAGACAATGCCATATGTTAGCTTAGACAGAAGTCATAAAGGGACGTCTACATTGGAAGTAAATAGCAAGAAGTAGGAAGTAAGAGTAAGAAATTGACCAATCATAGTTGATTATTCTTCTCACATTCGACTGTGGTTGGTCAATACTCTTACTTCCTACTTCTTGCTATTTACTTCCAATGTAGACGTCCCTTTAATTGACTTTTACTTTTTTTTTGCTTTTCTGCCAGAGTGTGAACTCTCTTTTATATTTACGGTTATAAATACATGTAGTTGCGTTCAGTGTTGTGTGTGAAGTAAATAAAAGTGCGAGAATTCATTCTACATTTTAGACTTTTTACACAATAAAGTCAACAAGGTCAAAATGTTGCATATAGAGATTATAGGAGGAATTATAAGATGCATTTTTGCTGGTGAAACGCCAGGAATAGCTCGCGAAGTATGGGAACGAATCGAGGAAACTGTGGTAAATAGACGACAATGATATCTAACCTCAAATAACGTGTTTACTGTCCACTGAGATTTTCCTTCATTTTCTTTTTAAATTACTTCAGTAAATCCATCGACAATTGAGTTGATATTAGCATTTTAATTTGTTGATATTTTTATAATTTTATAGTTCAAGAATTAATCGTAACATTTCTGACATACGCTTATCATTTCAATATTCATGCATCACGAATAATTAATAATTATAAACGGAATATTACGATTAGACTTTTAATAGATCAATTTTTGTTATTCAGGGAATTAAACAGGATGAATATTACATCATACATAATGGCCGGCTTATGCATGAAGATGACATCTGTCATGGTTATATGACTATTGTTCCAAGAACATTGGGTGGCAAAGGCGGCTTTGGTTCCATGTTACGTGCAATCGGCGCACAAATAGAGAAGACCACGAACCGTGAGGCTTGTAGGGACCTGAGTGGACGTAGATTGCGTGACATAAATGAAGAGAAAAGGCTAAAGGCTTGGATTGAGAAAGAGGTCAAGAGAAAGGAAGAGATTGCGGAACTAAAAAAGAAGAAGCTAGAAAAACTATGTGCCGAACCAAGACATGAATTTAAGGATCATCGTTATGAGCAAGAGAGATCAAAGCTGACAGAAAGAGTTGGAGATGCAGTGGAGGAAGGTTTCAAAGTTTCTGTTACAACTGGTGTAAAGAGAAAATTGGAAGAGGATGTTAAGCCAAACAAACGCAAGACTATGTTAGACCTAGATATCGATTCCGATGAATTGGATACTTCAGATGACAGTGATAGCGATAATATGTCTTCTACAAAGGAAAGTAAGATGACACAGCAAACGTTGAATGACAGCGGACATTCTAGTGATGACAGTGGAGAAGTCGATAAAAGCACAACAATTCAAAGTAAACATTCCATAACACAAACTGATAATCACCCAAACAAAACAGTTCCATTTATAGAGCCAGCAAATACCAAATATATCGATGAAGCTGTGGAGAATCTTAAACAAAAATCTGTGGATTCCAGAACAGAAACAGCTCTATAAAAATATAACAGATAAAGTTAATTAAGTTGAATTAGAATAAGTTTGAGTAAGGTATGAGGTAAAATTGTGTTTTATGTTGGTTTTACAACATAATACAATCACATCTTATAACACATCTTATAATCACATCTTTATTAAGTTTTAAAATTAATTGTTGTTGTTATATTTTATAACAAGTATTCCCTATTTCAAACGTTTATTCTTTATAATAGAAATAATTTAATGATATCGACGTTCTAGAAATAATTTGAAAGTATCGACGTAAAATTATAAATACGGATTATGAACATTTTTCTTTTTGTATATATTAAAATATCATAGAATAAATTATATTGGCTACGATTGATACTTGAATTTTCTTTCGAGTAATTCATAATTTTACTATCTGATGATTTTTGGCAAATCCCAAGCATCCAGTTCGGCACTAAGCTTTATCCCGATTGCGAATAAAAACGTTGATGTGACAACCGACCATAAGAAATCGTCGGCAAGCAATCGCTTAAACACGTACTTCTGCGTCCAATGGTAAAGTTCCGCGATGTATTTCGCGCTAATAAAGACAAAATTATAGCATTCTTCTCGTGGAGTCTTCAACTGTACTCTATCTGCAGCATTTATCAAGAATTAGTTATAAGGGCGTTGACAAATCTTCCATTGTTATAAAAGATGTAATATACTTACGTCTAACGAAACTGCAGGGACAAACACGGAAATAAGCTTTACAGCAGGTTTTTCGAAATTTGAGCTGGAAGACCGACGACATCGTTTTACACACGATTTATTTCGTAATTTTATATATTTTATTTCGATTGATATTTACCATGTTCGTGATAGACATGTCGCTATCTTTGTTTCGAATAAACTCCGATTTATAAACTTTACAGCAACGACGACGTAATAGTCTTATCCACGAAAATCATTTTGAAGATTTTTAACTGTCACTTCTTAATGTTTCGGATCGCAGGTCATTCTTTGACAGCAAACTCGCTCGAATAGACGCTCATATTTTGTTCGACTCTAAACATTACAATGCCGTAAAAAATCATGGCGAAACTGCTTATATTAAAAACTTATACTACAATTCTAGACAAAATTGTAAACTTGTTCTCGTAAGACTCGTAAGAACTTATGAGTGGTGATATGTAAGCTACGACTTTACGATTTACTTAGATATATTTGCTTAGAATTGCAGCATTAATCTGGTATTTTGCAAGAAGGAAATCGGCAAGATGTTCTTCTCGCGAAAGGCACGGTCATACATCGAACGATGGATAGGTAACATCATAAGCTGAGCGCCGTAGCTGAGCGAATTATAAAGTCAGATCAACCGAGCCATAATGCACGTTTTGATACGGTAGAGATAAGGTGGCGGCGCATACAAGATTAGTGAAATCAACGTTAGCCACCAGACCGTAGTCCGAATGTTGCACCTGACAAGAGACAAGGTTCGAGATTGGTACATAAGTTGCAATAAGTTACTGCAGCCTACGGTAAGAGTATCTTGCGTTTCGAGAAATATTACATGCGTACGCTATATAAAATTAGTACTGATTATAGATTGAAACAATAAGTTTTTCAGTTTCCGGACAGAATGCGATGTTTATTGTGTTGTCTGGTACATTTGTGCAGTATTTCCATGGTGTTCTCCACGAGTAAGTCCTTTTATTTTTGCGTCGACTAAAAATTTAAGGATTGAATTTCTTCGTAAATATTGAGTCATTTGAAAAGTTCGATTTTTGTTTTTCTCAATGGTGACCTGGTAGGATCTCACAATGGCGGTGATTACTTAGTCGACGAATAACTTTTCTATCGAATACAATAAAGTTAGAATTCGACTTAAAAAATCGAAATAAACATTTTGACTGACCTGACATTTAAAATATAAACATACAATCATTTCACCAAGATAAAACTTCTCTGTTGGAGTTTTGATAAATACTGTAAGATCGGAGGATCTATATTTAAAAATGATATTACAACAGACTTAACGATCTGTACAGCGGATGTGACGAAACATCCAAATTGGATGCTGTTGGAACATACAAAATGTGGGAATACCAATAGCGACCGTATTATCGGCGGTAAGAATGCGAGCCTGGGCGCGTATCCTTGGATCGCGAGAATTGGTTATAGCGGTCCTAGCACGGGCGGCAAATTATCCTACAGATGCGGCGGCAGCTTAATCAATCAACTGTATGTAGTCACGGCCGCCCATTGCGTAACGAATCTGCCCGACAGGTATTTCAGTTTTATTGCTAAAAAGAGGGAGAGAGAGAGAGAGAGAGAGAGAGAGAGAGAGAGAGAGAGAGAGAGAGAGAG